AACCTATTGCGCTCCCAAAAAATAATCTTATACTTTAGAACAGTTTAAAAATTAGCATAGTACAATATTTTCATACTCAAATTATTTGGATATCTTGATGTAACCTTGAAACAAATTGTACCGACACAGAAAAATCACTGAATATTAAGTAAACATTGTCATATTGTTCCGATCTTGGTATGACAAAAAAAAACATTTACAAAAAAAGTACTTGGAATGCCTTCAACATTTTATCAGCGTATTCTTCCATGATAGCAAATATGTTCACAAGTTCACAAATAATTCTGGGTGTTGCATTTTATATGTCTCTGTATATACAGACGCATTTACTGGCAGCTCAGTTTTTTTTGTCGATTTTGTTTTCGAGGGGGACACAAGTTTGGCAAAAAATCACGTTGACACGTGCAGCCCCCTGGCCGGGGGTGACAGCAACCCTAAAATCTTAAATGCAAAAGGGGGTGGAGTGATACCTTATTTTAAAGGTCTTCCAATTCTCTTTATAATCATGTAAAATACATGAGCTTCAGTTCAGTAGTTTTGAAGATTCATTGATTTAAAGCTTAAAGTAGACTTTAATAGGTACATCAGATTAGTTTGTACTACTTTCAGAAGAAATTTCACTAAAAGAATTTACTTAATAAGTAAATGCTTTTCTTCACTACGCCCATGGTTTGTTTATCATTTTGTTGTTGAAAATAGCTATTTGAGCATTTTTTTGTGGCAAAAAAGTTATTTCTTGAAGAAAGATAAGGAAATCGTACTTATTTTAAATAGGAATTTAGTACATAGTTTTCGATTAATTTGACCAAACTTTGTTGCTAAAATAACTTGTAATGATTTATTACATAAATTAACCATGGTATATTCCACAGCAGAAAGAGTTGAAATTATCGAAATATTTTTCGGAAATAATCAGTGCGCTAATAGAACAGCAGAAATATTTAATAGCGACATGAGAACAGTAACGTGCATCGAAAATATGTTCTAGAAGTTGTAGCTAAATTTGGGGAAACTGGGTCAGTCGCCAATAAAAAACGCAACATTGAAAATCCCATAAGGAACGACGCAATAGAAGTGGGAGTTTTAGGGCAAGTTTATGTAGATCCTTTTTTTTTTTTTTTTTTTTTTTTTTTATACTCCAACTACCACGAAGGCCTAAGGCCTAAGCACCCATTGGGTACCGTGGGGCTATGGGGGATACATGGGAAAGGGGGGACGCCACACGGACTCTGGCGAGGGAACACGTGTGCATGCAACATGCACACATTCTGGCTCCGCCTACGAGAACCGCCGGGTGGTACCTCCACGTTCGACAGTCAGAGACCATCTACCACCTACGGACAATCACAACATCCATGGCCAAGAGAAACATTTCTCCTGTAACGGGACTCGAACCCGCACAGCGCACGGCGGCTGATCAGGAGACCGAAGAGTCTACTACTGCGGCCACCGCTGCTGCCTAAAACAAACACACAACATCCATGGCGAAGGCGAGATTCGAACTCGCGGCCCGGCCGGCCGGCTGATCAGTAGCACGACACTCTGACCCACGCGGCCAACCGAGGTCCCCGAGTCCCCTACGTTAAGTACCCGCAAATTGGAGACTACACTACACCGCGTGCCTTCGGATCGCATACGCGTGTATTTATCTCCTCGAGAAATAACATCATGATTTCGTACGGGTTTCTAATTGCCGCGCCACTGGTGTATGCATAGCACTTTACAAGGCTGGTCACGCCATTTGTTTAATTAGGCGTACGCACCAACTGGACAAGAGCGGCAAAAGCGTCGGCAGCACATTGCCGGACGAACTGAGCTGTGCAAATTGGAAACTGAAAACAAGTCACAACAACAGCGGCTGCAGGATTTGTTACGGTTCGCGCTCTGTGATCTATGCGCCCACTTTCCACTGCAACCCGACATTCGACATGGCTGCGCCGTTTCATCCTTTAATTCCACGCAATCACTTGTTCACGATGTTACCGAGAAGTAATGGAATTGAACCAGGATCTGTGTTCTATTCACCTGCGAATATACAATACACTTAATTATATAAAGTCATACAGGAAACGCAGGGCAGAAAACGTAAACATACTTTTGGAGGGTATAACAATTGGGAGTTGGGGGCTATAGGGGATGGGGGAGGGTATATAAGAATAATAATAATAGCCGCCTTTGTTTACAAGCAGACTAACTGTATTAGCTATGTTTGTTACTTTCCTTCCTATGTATAGCAATTGACTTTTATTATATGTATACTAAGTGACATATAAATCCGAACACCCAGTTTAAATGGTTGTATTTTAATAAAATTTTGTATAAGTACTTAATGAAGCATAATAAGTAAATGATAAAAATTTCAAAATGATTGCACTGCTTTAAAGGCCTTTGACCTTTAATAATGTGTGGATGCACCCTGATGTGCTACGCACTCTCCAACGCGCCTAGGCATGCTTCTGATCAGGTGGTCAATGTCCTCCTGTGGTATCTCATTCCAGGCAACCACCAACTCCTCTCGAAGTGCTTCTAGAGTCTGAGGAGGAAGTTGCAAATTGAGCAATCTCCTACCCATCATATCCCACACGTGCTCAATTGGGGATAAGTCGGGAGATCTTGGTGGCCATGGTAACAATGTGACATCATTATGTTGAAAGAAGTCTATTGTGACTCTTGCAACATGTGGTCGGGCATTATCTTGTTGGAAAGTTGGATCTGCCAGGGTGTCAAGATAGGGTAAAAGATGGGGTTCTAGAACTTCGTGGATATAACGCTGCGCGTTCATGTTACCTCTGATGAAGATTAAAGGTGACCTGGAACCATAAGCTATAGCACCCCAAACCATAACTCCAACAGTGTGATGAACATGTCTTTCAACAAAAAACTGTGGATTCCTCCTTTCACCACGTCGCCTTCTAACCCTGGCACGACCATCGTGCATGCCTAAACAAAATCGAGACTCGTCACTAAAGACAATACTGTTCCATTCCTGATCCCAGAGTGACCGTTGTCTGCACCACTCAAGGCGATTACGTCGGTATTCTTCAGTTAAAGGGAGGACCCAGTGTGGCCGGTATGAAAACAAGCCAAAACTTCTCATTCGTCGGTAAACGCTTCGCATGCCAATAGGTCTTCCGTGTTCTGCAAACCACTCATTTGCAATGGACCTGGTAGTGAAGAAACGGTCCCTTAAGGCCAATAATCTTAGGCGGCGATCTTCACGGTCTGTTGTTCTACGGCGGCATCCAGTGCCTCTTGCTCTTTGCGTACGGCCTTCTCGAAGCCATGCCTGACAACACCTAACCACAGTGTCTACACTTCTTTGCACTCTAACTGCAATTGCCCGAAAAGAAAGTCCAGCTTCCCGAAGTCCCACTATACGGCCCCTATCAAACTCACTAAGTTGACGAAATCGTACAGGTCTCCGTACTCTAGGCATCGTAACCGATCGTAAAGGATGTCAAGAACCAAAATCCGCCAACGTTGATTCTTTACTGCGGCTGAAATATTCATTTTTAGAGCGTTAGTGAATTAAAGAAAAGCAGTATAAAAACCGGAATGTACAACTGATAAGGCTGAAAATTTGTTCACTTGTTATTTTCAGTAAGATAAATACATTCACCAACTTTTATTAAAATAAAACCATTTAAACTGGGTGTTCGGATTTATATTTCACTTAGTATATATTGTATATGCATGCTCTAATTTTTTTCTAGGGGTCACACGTATTGACGTTTGACATAATGTTAAAAATCGTATATTATTTTTTTCTGTAATCTCTTGTTCTTTTCGTAAGAAGTACATACTTTGAATACATTCAAAAGCAGTACATTTCTGTGTTTATTGTTTATATATAAGCCAAATGCATTACATGAAACATAAACTACAGAAGCATCAGGTGTTCCACAGGGATCATCGTTAGGACCACATCTTTTTACCGTATTTATCAACATCATTGATTGCAATTTTCTATTCCATGCTGATGATCCGAAAATGTATACTTAAGTTAGCAGCAGCACTGATTGCTAACGTCTCCAAAATAATAGATAACGCACAATGGAATATCGTTATAAGGGTAATCAAACATCTCTGCCGAAAATCTCTTTAAGACCACTTTCATGTACAATATGCATATAAATAATGTTATAAACTCTGAAAATAAAAGTATGGGTTTTGTGTTAGGCAACTCTCGGGATTTTGATAGCATAAATCCTCTACTCATGTTGTGTAATGGATTTGTGATGTCAAAACTTGAATATGCTAGAATTTTTTGCTATGTGACGCCTTGTGAATCACTAGAAAGTATACAAAGTTTCTGAAATATCTGTCCTATAGGTTAGTTGTTGTATGTCCAGAAATAGTTAGACCGCAAGATGTTGTATTAAAGAGGCACGATATGCTAAGTTTAGCTCACAGAAGAAAAATGCACTCGTTAATATTTTTGTTCAAGGTTGTTCGTAACAAATATTATTGTCCGCGGATTCGCTTGTCGTTTAATATATCAACATGTCTCAGCAGAAATATTATACCTTTTATTTACCAACCCCAAGGCGTACTGCTGCATTCTCCCTTATATTACGTGTGTAACTATTTGAACAAGGTACAAAACAGAATAGATATATTTGATACGAAGATCTTCTGAAAATCTGTTATGTAATTGTGAAGTTTCTTAAACGTTAAATACATAAATAAATAAAATAAAGGTTTCTCCAAACATTTGGCCTTACAACTTTCATGCGTCAGATACTGTGTGCGGTTGACGGCATCGCTTGTGTTCTCGATCTCGAGTTATAGGTGTGGTTCCGCACCGTTGCCAGATTGTCGACGTTTATGACAGAAAAGAAACTACCTTTAGCGTTATCAAATGGAGCTATGGATCATGGACTAATGTACTGACTTGTTCTATTTATTTTTTTGCTGTACATGTTTTTAGCTAGCCCTGCAGCGTAAATTCACCGCGGATTGAGATTGACATTTAGTATTTTCAATTTCGTTATTTTCAGAATTGTTACCTCCAAAATATCAGCGAGTGACGGACGATTTGAAAATTAGTAATCTGAGGCCCAAGGATGCACGCAAGGAATACGTGTGCCTTGTTCCGGGAAAACTTGGAGAAATACAAAATTGCCGGATAAGACTTAAGGTACAACGTAAGTATATGATATAGTCACGTGAAATCTGGTTAAGTAACCTATGGTGGTCATCTTTTAGTCTGTAGTTACCGAGGTATATCTGTATCTAATTTGAGAAGGGAGATGTGACTTTATGGTGTTGTGCTTCCTGTTGGTATAAAAAAAGGAGATTCACTTAGCGAACTTTGCAAAAGATGACAGGAGTGAGGTCTCCATAATATCTGAATCTAGGATTACGCGTGTAGCATAACGTAGTTTTAAAACCGACTCTCGTACCGTGGATTTATTAGAATACAATATATCAAAACTTCCAAATTTGCTTTACTGTGATTCATTACATTTCGGGATACGTGTCAGATATAAACAGTCAAAATATTTCAGCCGCTGTTGACATTGTATACACAACACGGAATTAATAACCAAATATACACTGCATTAGTTGCTTACTGTTAATCTATTTTTGTTGAATTGTGAACTGTCAATTTTCCCTGGATATGAACGTTGCAAAATATTCCCTGTTTGCAGTGCTGTTTTCAGTCTGTCGGGACGAACAGATGCATGACTGAGGAGCTATTTCAAATTGTTGATTGAATGGGTGGATATGTGCATTGTACAGATTTAACTTATTATCAGTATCAGTAAAAAAGTTTAGTTGAAGGTCGGAATATGATAGGTCTAAATGCGATCTGTATGCGGTTCCTAAAAGAAGTTCCTTGGACGGCTGTGGTGAAGGTCCAATACCTCATCGATGCATAATAAATTGATGAACTGGTCTACCTAAAAGAAATTCTACCCAAGCATAGCCAAAAAATTTCCTGGCTATCTGACGCATGCTTACAAAGATTTCACAACGGCAATTCATAGAGCGGAAAGTGTTACGCCAAGATCAGTCCTGACTTCCAAGAAAATGATTTTCAAAATTGTGCTCAGGATCTTATGTTTAATCGATAAGATAACCTTAAGTCTCTTGCATTTGAAAATAGATTTGACCTTTAAATGATCTTGAAGGTCAAGGACAAGGTCAAATTCAAGATAACCGTCAAATGGCCAGTGAAAAATATTAAGCTCTTGGTTGAGTAGATTTTGTTTCAACTCTTCTTATGATTAGTTTGACGATTAGATGTGAGACTTTGACTATGACCTTCAAATGTCAAACTCCTCCGGTGTCATGGACCCATTCGAACTCAAAATCTTACCCATTGAGGGAGTGAAATATATAGCATCTCAGTTAAAAATATAGTTGAGCTTGAAATGACCTTGTATGTCAAGGTCAAAATCAAGGTCGCCTGCAAGTGGCCAGAGAAAAATCTTAGGCATACACTTAGAAGAATTTCTTCTGTCTTCATGGTTTTCGAGATTAGCTTAACGATTAGCTGTTGGATCTGAACCATGACCTTCAAATGTCAGACCCTTTTGGTGACAAGAACTAAATCGAAAAATCATACCCATATCCGCTATTAAAGATATAGCGACTCAGTTAAAAAAACTACGGTTGACCTTGAAACTAGCTTGAATATAAGGTCAAATTCAAGGTCGCCTTCAAGTAGCCAGTGAAAAATCGTAAACCTGCACCTGGAAGGATTTCTTCTGATCTCACAGTTTTCAAGCTTAGTTCAATGATCAGTTGTTCGATCTTAACCATGACCTTCAAATGTCGAGTTAGTGTCAAGGACTCGGTCGAACTTAAATCTCACGCATTTTCGGTGTGAAAGATATAGCATTTCAGTTAAAAGGTATAATTAACTTTGAAATGGTTTCCGAGATTAGCTTAACGATTAGCTGTTGGATCTGAGCCATGACCTTCAAATGTCTTGAGGGTCAAGGACAAGGTCAAATTCAAGATCATCGTCAAATGGCCAGTGAAAAATATTAAGCTCATGGTTGAGTAGATTTTGTTTCAGCTCATAGTTCACATGATTAGTTTGACGACTAGATATGAGACTTTAACTATGACCTTCAAATGTCAAACTCCTCCGGTGTCATGGACCCATTCCAACTCAACATCTTACCCATTGCCGGAGTGAAATATATAGCATCTCAGTTAAAAATATATTTGAGCTTGAAATGACCTTGTATGTCAAGGTCAAATTCAAAGTCGCCTGCAAGTGGCCAGAGAAATATCTTAGGCATACATTTGGAAGAATTTCTTCTGAACTCATGGTTTTCGAGATTAGCTCAGCGATTAGCTGTGGGATCTGAACGATGACCTTCAAATGTCAGACCCTTTTGGTGACAAGAACTAAATCGAACTTAAAATCTTACCCATATCCACTGTAAAAGATATAGCGACTCAGTTAAAAAACTACGGTTGACCTTGAAACTACCTTGAATATAAGGTCAAATTCAAGGTCGCCTTCAAGTAGCCAGTGAAAAATCGTAAACCTACACCTGGAAGGATTTCTTCTGAACTCATAGTTTTCAAGCTTAGTTCAATGATCAGCTGTTCGATCCTAACCATGACCTTCCAATGTCGAATTATTGTCAAGGACTCAGTCAAACTTAAATCTCACGCATTTTTGGTGTGAGAGATATAGCATTTCAGTTAAAAGGTATAATTAACTTTGAAATAACTTTGAGTATCAAGGTCAAATTCAAGGTGGCCTTTAAGTAGCCAGAGAGGTTTTCGAGATTAGCTTACCGATTAGCTGCTGGATCTGAACCATGCCCTTCAAAGGTCAGACACTTTTGGTGACAAGAACTGAGGCAAACGTAAAGTCTTACACATATCCGCTGTTAAAGATATAGCGACTCAGTTAAAAAACTACGGTTGACCTTGAAACTACCTTGAATATAAGGTCAAATTCAAGGTCGCCTTAAAATTGCCAGTGAAATTTTCGTAAACCTACACCTGGAAGGATTTCTTCTGAACCCATAGTGTTCAAGCTTAGTTCAATGATCAGCTGTTCGATCTTAACCATGACCTTCCAATGTCGAATTATTGTCAAGGACTCAGTCAAACTTAAATCTCACGCATTTTCGGTGTGAGGGATATAGCATTTCAGTTAAAAGGTATAATTAACTTTGAAATAACTTTGAGTATCAAGGTCAAATTCAAGGTGGCCTTTAAGTAGCCAGAGAGGTTTTCGAGATTAGCTTACCGATTAGCTGCTGGATCTGAACCATGCCCTTCAAAGGTCAGACACTTTTGGTGACAAGAACTGAGGCAAACGTAAAGTCTTACACATATCCGCTGTTAAAGATATAGCGACTCAGTTAAAAAACTACGGTTGACCTTGAAACTACCTTGAATATAAGGTCAAATTCAAGGTCGCCTTCAAGTAGCCAGTGAAAAATCGTAAACCTACACCTGAAAGGATTTCTTATGAACTCATAGTTTTCAAGCTTCCTTCAATGTTCAGCTGTTCGATCTTAACCATGACCTTCAAATGTCGAGTTAGTGTCAAGGACTCGGTCGAACTTAAATCTCACGCATTTTCGGTGTGAAAGATATAGCATTTCAATCAAAAGGTGTATCAACTTAAGTATCAAGGTCAAATTCAGGGTCGCCTTCAAGAATTTCCTCTGGACGCATGGTTTTTGCGATTAGTTTAACGATTAGCTGTTTGACCTTGACCATGACGTTCACAAGTCAAATTCTTTTGGTGTTAATGATTCGTTTCAACTCAAAAGTTCCGATGTTAAAAATATAGCGTCTCAGTTAACAGAAAACTATATTTGAGTTGAGTTGAAATGACCTTAAATGTCAGGGTAAAATTCAAGGACACCGCCAAGTATCCGAGAAAAATCCTACACCTTCACCCAGGTAGAATTTATTTAAACCAACCTGTATATGCAGTAGCTTTAACAAAATTACGTCGAACGAAATCAGTACGCGGAGCAGTCATCCTGTCCACGGTATGTACGATCCTTGCAAATAGATTTGAGTCAATTTTGTCCCAAGGGTTCGTTAACTGAACATGTTCCCTACTTTCAGATAAACCGTACTTCAAAGAGGAGTTACGACGAGAGGAGTTGCCCAATCGAACGTTAGGTAGCACATCCTCCGGGAAACTGTACGTCGCCGATAACGAAATCTACATAGAAGACGGGGAACTTGTTAATTTGACGTGTGAAGTTCAGGCGGAACCGGGCGCGAAGTTTGATTGGTTCGCCGTTGACAGGAACAACAGGACGAAGAAACTCGGCAACGCGTTGACGGTTAACGGCACATTGTCCATTTTAGAGGTGAGGATGCTTTTTTGCACGAATAAGACGAATGCATGAGATACAGAACAGACTTGGGTCTTATACTGAAATCCGGTATTCGAATACGAATCGTTAATATCGTATTTTAAATTAAATTCGAATACTCAAGATTGGCTATAAAAGCTTTCGCCTAGAGAAAGAGAAAGACTGTTTAAAAATATACTCTCTACTCTCGGTCTGAGACAAAACTATTTATTGAAAACACTGAAACTTGAACAAAAATCGAAGTACATTTTCTTTCACAAGAAAAGTAAAGGAAAGATAAAAAAAGATAAAAATGTACTAAAGTGACATACCCTCAGAAATGTTTCCCCTGTTCTAAAATTATGGCAGCTCAAAAATCAAAATCACGGTTAATGTAATGTAGTAAGCCCAAAAGAAGGTGACATGTAGGCACTGCCCCATATTTGAATGCAAAAAATGCCAAACAAAATCAAGAACACTCTAAGAATTGCGGTCAGCAATTAATATCTATAAAATACCCAATTAAAATGATGTTTTACATGTTCACATCGGGTTTTCTTTTGTCAAGGGGAAGGAAAGGCTTCCAACCAAATCGGCTGCCAACCAGCTACATGCTAGCTACAAAACAAAGCTGAAGCAGCGTGAATGATGGTTCTCCGCAATGCCTTACCACTAAAAGGAAGCAGATATTGAATAAACTTCTTCCGGGCATGCATTAATGGACGCGGTTCGATGGTATACCAAAAAGAACTTACCACGGAAGGTTAAAATCCGATTAGAAAATGGACGGGGTAGCACCCAAACCAACACAACTAAACGTAAGGTACAAAATAAAAGGGTACTACTCCATAAACTGTTGTTTGGGGCCCTGACATCCCAGAATCTGGAAGTTAACGAAACAACGCCCACACACAACCAAACCTCAGCTGAAAGAAAAGTCATCAAGTTTTTAAAACAACGATCTTGATCGGAAATCAAATATTAAAAGATGGTATCGTAATAGGAAAGCAAATAATCTTGTACGGCTAGTACTATTTATTGAAAACACTGAAACTTGAACAAAAATCGAAGTACATCTTCTTTCACAAGAAAAGTAAAGGAAAGATAAAAAAAGATAAAAATGTACTAAAGTGACATACCCTCATAAATGTTTCCCTGTTCTAAAATCATGGCAGCTCAAAAATCAAAATCACGGTTAATGTAATGTTAAGCCCAAAAGAAGGTGACATGTAGGCACTGCCCTATATTTGAATGCGAAAAATGCCAAACGAAATCAAGAACACTCTAAGAATTGTAGTCAGAGATTAATATTTATAAAATACCCAATTAAAATGATGTTCACATCAGGTTTTCTTTTGTCAAGGGGAAGGAAAGGCTTCCAACAAAATCGGCTGCCAAACAGCTACATGCTAGCTACAAAACAAAGCTGAAGGAGTGTGAATGGTGGTTCTCCGCAATGCCTTTCTACTAAAAGGAAGCAGATATTGAATAAACTTCTTCCGGGCATCCATTAATTGACGTGATTCGATGGTATACCAAAAAGAACTTACCACGGAAGGTTAAAATCCGATTAGAAAATGGACGGTGTAGCACCCAAACCAACACAACTAAACGTAAGGTACAAAATAAAAGGGTACTACTCCAGAAACTGTTTTTAAATCAAAGAATCTGGAAGTTAACGAAACAACGCCCACACACAACCAAACCTCAGCAGAAAGAAAAGTCATCAAGTTTTTAAAACAACGATCTTGATCGGAAATCAAATATTAAAAGATGATATCGTAATAGGAAAGCAAATAATCTTGTATGGTTAGTACGTGTAGAAATCACGCTAGCTGCCAATGGGCAGAACCAACTCTCTACGAGGGGCCAACGATATTTTATGAGGAAATTTCCGAGATAGTCGTTAATAATACTATAAGAAAAGATTTCAACACAATACTGAATCGCTGAGGAAGAAAGATGTAATAGATGTGAAATTATACAATCAACAAACTATGAAATTTGCCAAAAGAGAATCATCAAAAAGGCTTTGGCCTAAGAATCGGTACTCTCTAATCAAATAAGAGAAATTCAAATTACTGGTAAGTGATCAAAATAGTAAATAAAAGGTTACGTAACTTTGGCACGTGACAGATTCTGGAGGTATGCAGTAGCAGTCATATAGCCAAACCTGGATAGCTTAGAAATCAAGACTAGACTACTCTAACCAGTTGCCGGAAGGCACGGAACAAACAGCACCATCCAGAACAAAACAAAATTGTAAACTGTTCAAAAAATATTTAACTAAATTTGAACCTGGTTACCGCCTATCTTGATTCCTGTTATGTTGCTTCGACAATCGTGATCACGAAAAGAATCGAAACGGAAAGTTTCTCCCACAAACGCTAGGTTTCCGCTTTCTCTAAGTGAACCAATAAACTATTCATTCATTTGCTATTCTCTCGCAATCTGCATTTTCCAGGTCCGAAAGTCGGATGCAGCATCGGAAAGCTACAAATGCATGGCGTGGAACCCCCACGGGAGGCTGGAAAAGTCCTTCAATTTGCACCTGGGATTCCGGCCAGATCCCCCTCTATCCCTTGACTTAGTCAACGCTACCTCAGACTCGCTAGAGCTAAAATTAGACGTAGAGGAGGACATCGAGGCGCTGCCAGCCGTCTTGTTTATCATGTATAGGAAGGTGGACAGCGACCAGTGGGAAGAGCTGGAAACTAACGTCAATAATGGTAAATATTAACAGGGTTGGATGTTTGGAACCGGAACACATGCTGCTCATTCATTAATAATTCGTGCCAGTACTGGGACAAAATATATTATTTTTATTGAATGATCGATATATTCTTGAAACTTGCATAAAGCTTCCACTTGGTAAGTCCGACGGACTTTTTATCTATTTTTTCCGTCAAAAATACTGATGCAATGAGTGTCCGACAAATTTCATGCTGCATTTTTGTAATTCGACAGCCTAAATATGACATTTTCACGAGTTTATGTTTTGCGATTCATACATGTCGGACAAGAAAACCAAATGATGTGTTAGAATAAACAAGAACAAAATACTTTAATGCTCGATAAAAATAATAATGATTCTTGAGTCATTTCGAAGAGAAAGCAAAAAGTTCAAAAATGATCTACAGCACAATCAAATAATTTTCATATGCTTGTTAATTTTGTAAAATAATTTAGGAGCTCTTATATTTCATACAGGGTTGGTGCGTCGAAAACGAAACAGACGCAGTTCAGTTTTTTTTGAAAAACGCTCAAACCCCTAAGCGGGGGTGACACCACCCCCAAAATCTTAAATGGAAAGGGGGGTCGAGTGATACCTTATTTTAAAGGTCTTTCAATTCCCTTTATAACGATACAAAATTAATGTACTTTAGTTCAGTAGTTTTGAAGATTTATTGATTTAAAGCTTAAATAAAACTAATGCATCATCATTAGTAGAGATCAACATTTGGCAGTAAAGTAATTTAAAAATAAAGAATGAACTGACCCGTTAGGCAAGTAAATGTTGAAAATGGCCATCATGACTCTCCATGCAATAATAAAGATTTTGCTCAAAACCTTTACCGCACATTTTGCAATATTTGAGGAGTAATTTGAAGGCACTCATTCACAATTCTTTGTCGCAGGTCTTCTAATGATGTTGGCTGAGTAGCATAGATTTTGCTTTTTAAATGACCCCACATAAAGAAATCCAAATACCATAAATCTGGCTATCTAGGGGGCCATTCAATGGCACCTCTTCTACTACGGATGAAAACTATGGGCCTTTAGGATCCGTTGGACAGTACGTCGACTAACACCATACACAGTCTCCAATTTGCGGGTACTTAACGTAGGATCTACAGAAACATACCCTAGAACCCCCACTTTTATTGCTTCGTTCGTTATGGGATTTTCAATGTTGCCCCTTTCCATTTAAGACTTTAGGGTTGGTGTCACCCCCGCCCAGGGGGCTGCACGTGTTAACGTCATTTTTTGGCAAAACAAAATCGACGGGTCTGAGCGTTTTTCCAAAAAAAACTGAGCGTAAATGCGTCTGTTTCGTTTTCGATTCGCCACCCTGTATAAGGTTCCTTAATGTACTCAATTGTATGGCCATCGCAATTGAATTTTCCCCTTAAATCGGAATGATCAAAAAAAATTATTTAAATTCAATTAAATAAAACAATATATAAAAAATATTTAATTCTTATAATGGCAGAATTAATTAAAATTATATAAACTAAACTTCAAAATCGTCAACATTGAAATCATCGCCATTTTCATCTTCGTCGTCATCGTCATCTTCCATTCCAAAACTATATTCATCCCTATTATCTTCATCATCATCGCTTTCCTCGGAGTCGGTAGAAAAATAAAGCAATTTATAGTTAATGTCAGAAATAACTACACTAATTTCTTTTTGTTTAATAATGGAGTATGGAGCTTATAATAAATTAATCATTTACGGGAATAAAATATGATGTGAAATGGCAATTTGAACTATCTAAACATGGAATATTATTATTAGAAAAGTCACATTAACAAGATATTTTTGGAATTCCTGATACTCTTTTTATAAATAACAATAAAGTAGTTATTAGTATCTGGATATTTATACTAAGTGACATATAAATCCGAACACCCAGTTTAAAGGGTTTTATTTTACTAAAATTTTGTATAAGTACTTAATGAAGCATAATAAGTAAATGATAAAGATTTCAAAATGATTGCACTGCTTTAAAGCCCTTTGACCTTTAATAATGTGTGGATGCACCCTGATGTGCTACGCATTCTCCAACGCGCCTAGGCATGCTTCTGATCAGGTGGTCAATGTCCTCCTGTGGTATCTCATTCCAGGCAACCACCAGCTCCTCTCGAAGTGCTTTTAGAGTCTGAGGAGGACGTTGCAAATTGAGCAATCTCCTACCCATCATATCCCACACGTGCTCAATTGGGGATAAGTCGGGAGATCTTGGTGGTCATGGTAACAATGTGACATCATTATGTTGAAAGAAGTCTATTGTGACTCTTGCAACATGTGGTCGGGCATTATCTTGTTGGAAAGTTGGATCTGCCAGGGTGTCAAGATAGGGTAAAAGATGGGGTTCTAGAACTTCGTGGATATATAAGCCATAACTCCAACAGTATGATGAACATGTCCTTCAACAAAAAACTGTGGATTCCTCCTTTCACCACGTCGCCTTCTAACCCTGGCACGACCATCTTGCATGCCTAAACAAAATCGAGACTCGTCACTAAAGACAATACTGTTCCATTCCTGATCCCAGAGTGGCCATTGTCTGCACCACTCAAGGCGATTACGTCGGTGTTCTCGAGTTAAAGGGAGGACCCAGTGTGGCCGGTATGAAAACAAGCCAAAACTTCTTATTCGTCGGTAAACACTTCGCATGCCAATAGCTCTTCCGTGTTCTGCAAACCATTCATTTGCAATGTACCTGGTAGTGGAGAAACGGTCCCTTAAGGCCAATAATCTTAGGCGGCGATCTTCACGGTCTGTTGTTCTACGGCGGCGTCCAGTGCCGCTTGCTCATTGCGTACGGCCTTCTCGAAGCCAAGCCTGACAACACCTAACCACAGTGTCTACACTTCTTTGCACTCTAACTGCAATTGCCCGAAAAGAAAGTCCAGCTTCCCGAAATCCCACTATACGGCCCCTATCAAACTCACTAAGTTGACGAAATCGTACAGGTCTCCGTACTCTAGGCATCGTAACCGATCGTAAAGGATGTTATGAACCAAAATCCACCAACGTTGATTCTTTACCGCGGCTGTAATCGCCTTGAGTGGTGCGGACAACGGTCACTCTAGGATCAGGAATGGAACAGTATTGTCTTTAGTGACGAGTCTCGATTTTGTTTAGGCATGCACGATGGTCGTGCCAGGGTTAGAAGGCGACGTGGTGAAAGGAGGAATCCACAGTTTTTTGGTGAAAGACATGTTCATCACACTGTTGGAGTTATGGTTTGGGGTGCTATAGCTTATGGTTCCAGGTCACCTTTAATCTTCATCAGAGGTAACATGAACGCGCGGCGTTATATCCACGAAGTTCTAGAACCCCATCTTTTACCCTATCTTGACACCCTGGAAGATCCAACTTTCCAACAAGATAATGCCCGACCACATGTTGCAAGAGTCACAATAGACTTCTTTCAACATAATGATGCCACATTGTTACCATGGCCACCAAGATCTCCCGACTTATCCCCAATTGAGCACGTGTGGGATATGATGGGTAGGAGATTGCTCAATTTGCAACGTCCTCCTCAGACTCTAGAAGCACTTCGAGAGGAGTTGGTGGTTGCCTGGAATGAGATACCACAGGACGTCAATAAAGACGTCATTTTGTAGTCAATGACGTTTCCGACCAAAACTCACCGAATAATGAAGTCATTTTGGCCTTATCTTGTCTGCGTTTACTGTCGACATCCTGATGTCATCATGCAAAGCAACAGTTTTTTTGTAGTTGGAAGTCACACAGGCATAAACATGTTCTTTTTGCAGGTAGCGTGGTGCTTGAAAACCTAGATGCCGGCACCAAGTACGGTATAAAAGCTGCCATGCGAAACATAGTAGGACTGAGTAACTTCACAGACTTCGTGTTCTTCCAGACGCTACCGTCCTCCGCTTCTAGCACTGCTTCGATTCTATCTGTTGTAATATTTCTAAGTGTTCTGCATACCTTGCACACGGTTGGGGTCGTGTCATAAATAGCGTTATTATGTATTTATTTGCGAAACGATACAATAATGATGAATTTCTAATGACTGTTGTTAGCAGATACAGTACGTACGTTAAAAACGTGTTTTAAGCTATTTCGCGTCGATGCTAATAATACGAACATTTGGTTATGTCATCTTATTTATCAACATCAATTTAGTATTTAAATGTCTGTCTTTACAGCGTTATTTAGTTGTGAACAGGTGGGCCGTTATTGCATTAATTAGTGATACGTAATTAGCCAACTCGTCAAATAAATTAATAATGATGAAATGAGCTAATTACGATTAGATTACGTCAGTCAGTATCATCACCAAATAGACAGAAATTCGAGCTGATATCCGACAATAATTTAAAAATTTAAGTCTATAAGAATTCGGTGCGGTAGGCGGTGAGTAATGGAAACCGGTAATTAGACGAAGTATTAATTTATGAGCTGGTAGCCATTTGAGAAAAAAATTTGAGGTAACTTGCCTGTTTACTATCTTACGCTGAGAAGACTGCTTTTAGCCCAGGCTACAGAGAAAAAATAGGTATTTCGTGTAAAAAAGCTTAGCAGATATCTGAAACTTTTAAATGAAAATGGGACTTTCTAATCTCAGATATGCGTTGTTTTTTATAAACAATGAGAAAAGGTCAAAAATGTATTTTTTGTGTCGGTGGACCAAATCTGTTTTATCCAGCAAGGTCATCCATTTCGACGTCTAATTAATCCTCAGTTAAACTTTAAGTAACCTCTGGGTAACCTTGCTGGTTAAAGCAAATGCCAGATTTGGTTCCAGCTACCTAGAAACCGACATGTGGAGGTTTTGAGATTCAAACATTTTTACACACATTGATCCTGGAATAACTTTGATTTGACCTGAAAATAACCTCTGAATCACGTCGCTAGGCAAAACATACGTCGCCAGATTCTAATTCACCCAAAAACCAAAAAAATATTGTTTCCAAAACTTTTTAAGAAAGTTTTTTAGACCTGATCTTGAAGCTTATCAAATAGAGGTCAACTGACCTTGCCATTGAGTTCAAGGTCATCCGTATCGACCTTGAAACAACCCTTAGTTGACGTTCAAGTATCTTCGAGATGATGTTGGATTCACCCAAAAACTACAAAATGTCTTTTCAAAAACGTAAGTAAGTTTCTTTGACTTGATCTTGAAGCTTATGTCATAGAGGTCAACTTACCTTGGCATTGAGATCAAGGCCATCCATGTCGGCTTCGGCACAACCCTTAGTTGACCTTCAAGTAATCTCTGGATGATGTTGGATACACCCAAAAACCACAAAATGTCTTTTCAAAAACTTAAGTAGGTTTTCTAGACTTGATCTTGAAGGTCATGTGATAGAGGTCAACTGAACTTGGCATTGAGATCACAGTCATCCATGAAGACCTTGAAACAACCCTTAGTTGACGTTCAAGTAAGGTCTGGATGATGTTGGATTCTCCCAAAATCCACAAAATGTCTTTTCAAACAAGTTTTAAGAATTTTTTTAGACTTGATTGAAGCTTATGTAATAGAGGACAAACTGACCTTGGCATTGATATCAAGGTCATCTATGTCGACCTTGAAATAACCCTTAGTTGAAATTCAAGTATCCTCTGGATGATGTTGGATTCACCCAAAAACCACAAAATATCTCTTCAAAAACTTTTAAGTAAGTTTTTTAGACTTGATTTTGAAGCTTATGTAATAGAGGTCAACTGACCTTGAATTTTATATCAATATCATCCATGTCGATTTTACTCTAAGTTGACCTTCAAGTATATTCTGGATGATGTTGGATTCACCCAAAAACCACAAAATATCTTTTCAAAAACGTAAGTAAGTTTCTTTGACTTGATCTTGAAGCTTATGTCATAGAGGTCAACTTACCTTGGCATTGAGATCAAGGCCATCCATGTCGGCTTCGGCACAACCCTTAGTTGACCTTCAAGTAATCTCTGGATGATGTTGGATACACCCAAAAACCACAAAATGTCTTTTCAAAAACTTAAGTAAGTTTTCTAGACTTGATCTTGAAGGTCATGTGATAGAAGTCAACTGACCTTGGCATTGAGATCACAGTCATCCATGACGACCTTGAAACAACCCTTAATTGTCGTTCAAGTAAGGTCTGGATGATGTTGGATTATCCCAAAATCCACAAAATGTCTTTTCAAACAAGTTTTAAGAATTTTTTTAGACTTGATTGAAGCTTATGTAATAGAGGACAAACTGACCTTGGCATTGATATCAAGGTCATCCATGTCGACCTTGAAATAACCCTTAGTTGAAATTCAAGTATCCTCTGGATGATGTTGGATTCACCCAAAAACCACAAAATATCTCCTCAAAAACTTTTAAGTAAGTTTTTTAGACTTGATTTTGAAGCTTATGTAATAGAGGTCAACTGACCTTGAATTTTATATCAATATCATCCATGTCGATTTTACTCTAAGTTGACCTTCAAGTATATTCTGGATGATGTTGGATTCACCCAAAAACCACAAAATGTCTTTTCAAAAACGTAAGTAAGTTTCTTTGACTTGATCTTGAAGCTTATGTCATAGAGGTCAACTTACCTTGACATTGAGATCAAGGCCATCCATGTCGGCTTCGGCACAACCCTTAGTTGACCTTCAAGTAATCTCTGGATGATGTTGGATACACCCAAAAACCACAAAATGTCTTTTCAAAAACTTAAGTAAGTTTTCTAGACTTGATCTTGAAGGTCATGTGATAGAAGTCAACTGACCTTGGCATTGAGATCACAATCATCCATGACGACCTTGAAACAACCCTTAGTTGACGTTCAAGTAAGGTCTGGATGATGTTGGATTCTCCCAAAATCCACAAAATGTCTTTTCAAAAAAGTTTTAAGTATTTTTTTAGACTTGATTGAAGCTTATGTAATAGAGGACAAACTGACCTTGGAATTGATATCAAGGTCATCCATGTCGACCTTGAAATAACCCTTAATTGAAATTCAAGTATCCTCTGGATGATGTTGGATTCACCCAAAAACCACAAAATATCTCTTCAAAAACTTTTAAGTAAGTTTTTTAGACTTGATTTTGAAGCTTATGTAATAGAGGTCAACTGAACTTCAATTTTATATCAATATCATCCATTTCGATTTTACTCTAAGTTGACCTTCAAGTATATTTTGGATGATGTTGGATTCACCCAAAAACCACAAAATGTCTGTTCAAAAACTTTTAAGCAGATTTTTTAAAATAGATCTTGAAGCTTATGTAATAGAGGTTAGTTGACCTTGGCATTGAGATCAAGGTCATCCATGTCGACCTTGAAACAACCCTTAGTTGACGTTCAAGTAAACTCTGGATGATGTTGGATTCACCCAAAAACCACAAAATATCTCCTCAAAAACTTTTAAGTAAGTTTTTTAGACTTGATTTTGAAGCTTATGTAATAGAGGTCAACTGACCTTGAATTTTATATCAATATCATCCATGTCGATTTTACTCTAAGTTGACCTTCAAGTATATTCTGGATGATGTTGGATTCACCCAAAAACCACAAAATGTCTTTTCAAAAACGTAAGTAAGTTTCTTTGACTTGATCTTGAAGCTTATGTCATAGAGGTCAACTTACCTTGACATTGAGATCAAGGCCATCCATGTCGGCTTCGGCACAACCCTTAGTTGACCTTCAAGTAATCTCTGGATGATGTTGGATACACCCAAAAACCACAAAATGTCTTTTCAAAAACTTAAGTAAGTTTTCTAGACTTGATCTTGAAGGTCATGTGATAGAAGTCAACTGACCTTGGCATTGAGATCACAATCATCCATGACGACCTTGAAACAACCCTTAGTTGACGTGCAAGTAAGGTCTGGATGATGTTGGATTCTCCCAAAATCCACAAAATGTCTTTTCAAAAAAGTTTTAAGTATTTTTTTAGACTTGATTGAAGCTTATGTAATAGAGGACAAACTGACCTTGGCATTGATATCAAGGTCATCCATGTCGACCTTGAAATAACCCTTAATTTTAATTCAAGTATCCTCTGGATGATGTTGGATTCACCCAAAAACCACAAAATATCTCTTCAAAAACTTTTATGTAAGTTTTTTAGACTTGATTTTGAAGCTTATGTAATAGAGGTCAACTGAACTTCAATTTTATATCAATATCATCCATTTAGATTTTACTCTAAGTTGACCTTCAAGTATATTTTGGATGATGTTGGATTCACCCAAAAACCACAAAATGTCTGTTCAAAAACTTTTAAGCAGATTTTTTAAAATAGATCTTGAAGCTTATGTAATAGAGGTTAGTTGACCTTGGCATTGAGATCAAGGTCATCCATGTCGACCTTGAAACAACCCTTAGTTGACGTTCAAGTAAACTCTGGATGATGCTGGATTCACCCAAAAACCACAAAATGGCTTTTCGAAAGCTTTTAATTTTTTTAGACTTGATCTTGAAGGTTATGCAATAGAGGTCAACTGACCTTAGCATCGAGATCAAGGTCATTCATGTCGACCCTGAAACAACCCTTAGTTGACTTTAAAGTAACCTCTGGATGATGTTGCCATTCAAAACGAATGCCAATTTGGATCCAGTTACCCGACATGTGCAGATTCAAACATTTTACATCTTGACCCTGGAATAACTGGTTGACCTTGAAACCTCTGGATCCCCTCAAATTAAAGACCACAATATATATTCTATTCAAGAATGTTTAGACATTTTTTAGATTTGATCTTGAAACGACCTTGAAGAGGTCAACCGACTTCGAATTGAGATCATCGATCTCAAACACTTTAAGATACCCTATGGTACAAGGTAATATCTCTTAAATTGAATGTTGCCCGGTGTAATTTTCAAAAAATCTTAGATTCTAGCAAATTGTTGATAAAAAACCGCTTATTGCTTTAAGTAACTGCTGTATCTGCTCTATACGGTTGATGTATAATTATTGAAAAAATTATAAGGCTGTTGTGAATATTACTATGTAAGTGTAGATACTTTAACGCAATATGACTGTACTGTTATGAATTATAGTAATTATTTGGATCCTATTTGTAAAATGCATTTGTTATAATACGTTTGTAAAAGTTTGATGTACTGATATAATGATGTTTTTGAATGTCAAATAAAATCGACCAAGTATACCTATGCCTTTTCTAACATACGGAAAATACATTCTTTGTGTTTTCATACGGTACTTTGTCTCCATTGCAGTTAAGGAAGAGGGTGTCACCGTTGACAAAACTAGTATTTTTTATACCGAAAACACTTTGTTAATCCCGATTTTTGAGCTGTCTAAGGTTAGTAGCACTGGGAAGAACCTCCTCAGATAGATTGTTCCACAATCTTGATACCCTAGGACAAAGGAGTCTGTCAGGCGGGGAGGCAACACCCCAAATATGTGAGCAGTACTGAAGGCTAGGTCTTACGTGGGTCTTGTACAGAGTGTTAGCTGTTAGATATCAAAAGCAGTTCGGGGTTCGACAAGGTGTGGGAAAAAATACGTTTTTATAACAAAATAGTATATTTCAAACCTAAAACAAATGTGCCGCTTCCTAGTCGGTCTTCAGTTCTGATATACGTTAAACATAACACAGATAGTGAAAATATCCAGATTCAGGGATGGCCCTCAATATCATCAGAGTACAAATCTAGTTGGGATGGTTTGGTGACAAACTATTGGCTGAGTGTGGTCGATCGGTCATTGACGGTGATGCTTGAACGATGGAAACGCTCATCTGGATTGGTTGCTTAGCCTGAAACAAATGAAAATAGCATGACGTTCAACTGTGTTGTATCTAGATATGGGTTACGTGAAACTGCTTGTTGTTGTGTAGTCGTTTTTGTCTGGGAGGTCTCGCAGATGCAAACATCAAGGGTGTGTGGCACATGCTGTATTTACTATGCTCGAGATGGACATGGGCGTACCGCAAGGCTCTGTCTTATTTACATTATATGTGAATGATATTGAGAAATGTTTTCAAGGTGCTAAGTTCACTTTGTATGCTGATGGTACATCCATTATTATGTCCAGTGCCCATGAAACAACGTTGTTGGATGTCTTAGACAAAATTCATGATAAGTCTTCGGTGAATCAGCTTCATTTAAATCGAGACAAAACATGAATTCTGCGATTTCGTAACTGACAAGAAAGTTCTTTGGCATACAAAATTTTTGTGCTAATATATTGACGAACACCTCAAGCCATTTTGACTATCTATCAACGAACCTATGTGGTCAGTCCTGTTTATTTGAGAACTTAAAGACTGCCGATGCCGCTTCGACAAAACATACGCCCTTGGAGAAGTTTGAAAGTTGACACTCGCCAGTTTTGTGGTACAGGCGATATCTTCGATTTTATGCAGCGTTTTCCAAAATCTTAATATGTATTCCAAAAAATTGTGTATAACACTATAATTCTTTCCCATTTTTTATAATGTGCAACCATCTTGTTTACAGCAAATGAAAACATATTTTCAAAATTACAAATTCTATAAAATAAAGCTATGAGAATCATTTTAAATAAAAACAAATATGCTAGGATTAAGCAGTAAGTAAGAAGAGCTGCAGTGGTTTAATGTGAAACATTTCATATATTATTTAGTTCTCGGTTTTATATTCAAATAAAAAGATCATTTATTACCACCACATTTAGAGAAATTCACAAAATTAAATAGTCATTATCATAACTACGAAACTAGAGGCAGTATAGATTTTCATCTGCAAAATTGTAATAGTAGCATGACTAGTAAATCTATATTTCAAAAGGGAGTATTTAAATTTAATAAATTGAATAAGGATATTAAACAGAGTTCGTTTAAGGTGAAATTAAGAAATCACTTTATGAATAATCAAAATACATAGTGACGTAATTTTAGTTTTAATAGACAGGAATGTAAAATTACAGAAAATGGATTGGCCTAAATTTTAGGTTAAAAACAAGATATCGATATGCGGTTTTCGCGGGCGTCTTCAGACATCATCTAGCTACTTTATAAAAAAAAGAAATTATAACAATAATTTGATTTTTTTGATAAAATTAACCATATCTGTTGGAATATCGAAACAAGCCCACTGGCGGTCACATCTGAAACTAACAAAACTTCAAATATTATAACATTGGCCTAAGGATAGATCTTTTCAACTAGCTCTCAAGTTTGTTCAAATCAGCTCAACCGTTCCGAACATACAGGGTGTTTTTTATAGAAACCTTTGAATGAACTTTATTTTAGAGATACAGCAAAAAAGGTTCAGATTATCCTCGAATTTAAAGATCAGATATTTGTTTAGGTTAACATAGCGAAATTCATTTCACTTTCAGATTCAAGATTGCAGTTACGGCCCCTAGCGGCCATTGCAGATACTTGAAAATATTTTCCAGGTTTTTGTTAGACAAGGTACTCAAATTCTAAGCGATACCTACCAGTTGTGATGAATTTCTTCTTGGGATCCTACCGGGATCCATGCTGGGTTTCCTGCGGCTCAGATGTCGTTCCACCCACTTCAACATAGTCAGTACCGAATCCGTAGATGGCAAACGGCGCTCGGCCGCCGTTTTTGTGATATCTGAAGAGGTAACTCTGAATGTCGCTGCCATACCTTTCAGGGCCTATAACAAAAAAAATCATAGTCAAGAAGCTTATAATAACAATAGTCAACACTAAAAAAATATCCGTAGAAGTACGTAGTAGATTTTGTAGACACTTTTTTGAATTTCATTCCTGAGTGTCCCTATATTAGAAATATATTTTAATTTTGATTTTGTTAATCTTTTATAAAGTTAATTGTGGTATCCTTCTTTTTTGTTTCCGTTTCTTTCAAGGCATTCCATAATGATGTAGAATTGTTTCCATTTTCACTAATCTTTTTTTAGATATAATCTTTTTTGGCTTTTCTGATTTTTTCAGTTAGTTTATTTTTACAGGCTGTTCCATAAGAGTGTTGGCGATTTAAATCTTAAATTTCTCGGAAACGCGGGGCGCGGATTGAGGGGGGAGATAAACTGTTAGCCGCGCCGTTGTCTGGAAATTTAGTCGCCATGGAGCGCAGCGTGCATTTTGTATGAAAACGAATTGGTTATTACTGCATGACAGGTTCTTATCCAGAAAGAGGTTGTGACCATAGTGCCCTATTAGAGTCTTTCAATTTGGATTCACTGTCAACAAGACGAAACATATTTGCTTTGTCGTTTTTGTATGGCCTCATTCACAACAAAATTGACTGTCAAAATTTACTTGAAAAAATATGTTTCCGCGTTCCAAGGCTAGGGAGTCGACAACAAATGGCATTCTATTGTCAAGCTGGCCGTACAAATGTTATGACAAAATCGCCAATTAATTTCATGTGCTGCGTCATGAACAATGGTACTGAATCGTGTGATATTTACAGTGACAGTTGTGCAACGATTATTAACTGTTATAGATCATCCAATATTATTTAGAATGTGTGATACTATAGATTTAAGTCCAAGAACCATGTCTCTTTAATTGCTATTTTTTTTCAGCGTTTCCTGTAATTGGGTTTCACCTGTTGGAAATAAATAAATAAATAAATAAATAAATAAATGACATTTGTATCAACATAGACGCGGTTTATGCGATTTAAGGAAAGTTTTAAGCGTCAATGTGATACGGAAATGGATCAGAATGTTCGAAACAACCGGCTCGACAGTAGCAATAACAGCTCGTGGTCGTAAAGTTTCTGCAAGATCAGCCGTCAATGTAGAGCGTGTTCGTGTTTCGGTTCAGCGAAATCCGTAACAGTCACCACGTAAGAGAGGCAAGGTTTTGGACATCAAAAGAACGAGCTTGCTGCGAATTTTGCAGCGTGATTTGCATTTGAAGGCTTATAAGATTCAACTAAAACCAGATGATGCCAATAACCGACTTAACTTTGTCAATTTGATGCTCGATCGATTCAACAGCTTTAACAACGTGATGTTTAGCGATGAAGTAAATTTTCACCTCAATGGCCATGTTCACAAACAAAATTGTCGGTTCTGGTCTGAAACTAATCCTCGACGCTTGCATGAACGTCCACTTCACAGCCCTAAACCTGGACCGTACTTTTTTTGAGGACCAAAGAGGGCAAGCGATAATAGTTAAAGCTAACAATTATTGCAATATGATAACAGACTTTTTGGTGCCAGCTTTGCAAGAACTTCAAGGCAATACGTCTAGAATGTGGTTTCAACAAGATGGGGCCACATGTCATACAGCTAGGGTATCTATAGAGGTGCTTTCCCGGAAAACTCATTTCGAAAAACGGGGTCATTGAATGGCCACCACGTAGCCCCATTCTTTCTTCATACGATTATTCCATATGGGGCTACCTCAAATCGGTGGTCTAGGAGAATAATCCAACTTATTTAGAGCAGCTGTAGAGGAATATCGTTCAGGAAAATAACAAAATACGGAGAGCAACTTTTCGACGAATTTTTCAAAATCTGCAGCTTCGGTTTCAAGAGTGCCAAGCAGCCAAAGGAAGTCATTTGAACAACATTATTTTTAAGTGTTAAAAGTTCCTATCTTTCTACTTTTTAAAAATACATTTATTTCTCTTTTATATTGCCTAGCTATTTTTTAATTGAATATTCAAATTGCCAACACCTTTATGGCCCACCCTGTAGTTCTTTTATAAATATTTATATTTTCTTTCAAAGGGATAATAGGCTATAAATTTTGTCTCTTTTAAACTTCTTTCACAACGTCATTGTTGATCAGTTTTTTCTTTTAATACTGCTTCTTTTTAGTTTAATTTTATTGGTGTTTCTATTAACATAATATTGACTTTTATCTACTTACTGGTAGCTATCTGTTTTCAGTATTTGAATTTGATAAATTGAATAATGATGAGTTCAAAATTAAAAATGCTTAAGATGAAATTAAAAAATCACTTTATGAATAATCAAAATAGATAGTGTGACGTAAATTTAATTTTAATAGACAAGAATGTAAAATTACAGAAAATGGACTGAAGAAAAATACGTAACCAAATCATTATACAAACTTGACATTGTAGCATTAATACTAAATAAATCTTCAACAACAACAACCACTTGTCGTTAGTCATGCTGATTATTAGTTTTGTTTTATCTAAATAGTATTTTATAATGGCTAGAATACATACCTGCATAGCGTCTTCGTCAGTAGCATCATCACCGACGTATATGATTCTGATTCTCTCACTCCAATCCACACCAAATGCGGTCCTCAGGATGTATATGGAGGCTCTACCTTTGTTCCATTGTACAGGCGGTCTAGCTTCAATGGCGCAATGCGCGTGCGCCGCAAGAAAACCTGCGGCTTCTATCAAGGTTACAGCTTGCTTCTCCAAACCAGCCCTGAAAATATCGTAGAATTTGTTTGCGTATTCAAAGAGTCAAGTTAGCACCAATTTTGTGACGTAAGCTGCCTTCAAAAATAGGATGAAATAGCATTTTATATATACGGTATATATGTCATTGGTTTTTGACAGTCATATTCGATTATACTAATTAAAATTACCAAGGGGTTTATGGGGTATTTCACGTGAAAACAGCAGTAGGTTTGAATGAGAGAACGCGATTGTTTTTTCCTGGCATTTGCCAAGTTACGAGCTTGTCACGTGCCGAAATCACGTGATTTTTTTACTATTTTGATCACTTACTAGTAATGTGAATTTCTCTTTATTAACTTTGGGGTGCCCATTCCTAGACCAAACCACTGTCAATGATTCTCTTTTGGCAAATTTCATAGTTTATTGATTGTATAATTTCACACGTACTACATCTTTCTTTCTCAGTAATTTAGGATTGTGTTGAAAAAAAAACTCTGTTTTTTCTCTGTTATTTGGTTTCCTATCGAACATATCTTCTTCAAGGCCACTCACTGAGCCTTCCTTTATAAAGTTAGGTGTTTGGAGTCAGTCACTTTCTTGCCGAACACCAGTTTGTGGAGTAGTACCTCTTCATATTGTACCTTGCGTTTAGTTGTTTTGGTTTGGGTGCTACCCCGTCCATTTTCTAATGGGATTTTAGTCTTCAGCGTGAGAAGGCATTGCGAAGAACCGTAAACACACTCATCTGGCTTTGCTTGTCGCTTTTTTGCAGCTGATATTGCCGGAAGCCACCCACCCCTGATGGAACAGGGTTTTTTTGCGAAAGGGAAGAGGGAAACATTTAGAGGTCATGATCAGGAAGCTCCTAACCGACCTCCTATAAAACCCAGAGGCTTCCCAATTAGGGCGGACTCTTATGATAGAAAGGAAGATGAAGAATTGGTTGGCATGTATTTTATATTCTATTTTCTTGCACAATACAAACAAATCCGCACATTTCAACAGGTATGTAGCTATAATGTAAAAACTCGGTATGTAGGACTAACATTCAAGATTGCCATGCATTAACAAACGTCCAAACATGCTATTAAATTTAACAGAGAAAATCGTTCTAATATTTGATGCATTTCCATTGGCTAAATAAATAATCGACCTATTATTTGTAAATTGATAAGAACTAGCAAAATACATGAATGTTGTCATGTTTTCTCTGTACAAAAGCATCATGATGGAATCAAAAAGTGCTCTTGTTTATAATACCATCGCTTTTTTACGATTTTATCCAATATTTTAATAGAAATCACTGATATTCAGAGAGCTTTGACAGCTTTCGTCAAATTGCACTTCGATAAGATCTTTCCCCATTGGTCCAAACTGACGGCCAAATTCTGATGTTGGTGTAATTGTGATTTCTAAATTGACAGAGAAGGAGTAAAACGTAGTGTTGCTATGAGTTATTCCAGACTCATCGATAGAGAGCATGGATTTGACGTAGACCTTGACTTTGAAGGTTATGGTCAAGGTCAACTAATGGATGGTTTATTATATTATTTACAACAGTAAGTTTTACTTCCTTTCTGTCAACACTGCAACTTCTAATCATATCCTATATTAATCAACACGCCCTAGTTTGGGGGCTTCTGGGCTCTGAATGTCGAGCAGGCGTTTCCTGAGCATGACCAAATGTTGCGGTAGAGAAGTTCTCAATAACTACATGAAAATAGATTCTTCTCTTTCCCCATTTTCCTGGTGAAAAGCAGGATGTACCACTTTGAAAAGTCTACCTTGATCATGACCTTCAAGGCCACCCTAACAAAAATATGTCACGTTACGTGTTACGTTACGTGCTACGTTACGTGATACGTTACTTGTTACATTAGATGTTACGTTACGTGTTACGTTACGTGTTAGGTTACCTGTTACGTTACGTGTTACGTTACGTGTTACGTTACGTGTTACGTTACGTGTTACGTTACGTGTTACGTTACGCGTTACGTTACGTGTTACGTTACGTGTTACGTTACGTGTTAAATTACATGTTACGTTACGTGTTACGTTACGTGTTACGTACGTGTTACGTTACGTGTTACGTTACGTGTTACGTTACGTATTACGTTGTGTTACGTTACGTGTTACGTTACGTGTTACGTTACGTGTTACGTTACGTGTTACTTTACGTGTTACGTTACGTGTTACGATACGTGCTACGTCATGTTGTCTTGTCTTGTGAGTGGGGACGTTAGACCCATTGAAACTTTTGGTCGCCATTTTGAAAACTACCTCGATGCAGAAATTCAACTAATTCAACCGAAAACCATTTTCAATCGTAAAACGGCGGGGCTCTTTTGAAAAATAACTGCTTATCTATGATCTGGGTGAAAACTCGTTTCTGGGGTAAACTGATTGCGTAGGTTACGAATCTAGTATCACTTTGACGCTATGATCCACGAGGAGTCCCAAGTGACCCAATCTTGCACTTCAAGCTTGTAGTTTGTAACAACAGGAAACAGAAGGGGAAATATCTAACCTAACAAGTTTACCCTCGAATTCATGGAGTTATTAGTATTCCAAACTACGTAACTATAGACAGCATATTTCGTTTTCGGTCTACCCGTTTTCCATTCGCAGGGTGCGCGATAAGATTTGAAGTTAGAAACAATTGATGCATTTTTGCCAGTCTTTCAATTTCACCTTATTGTTCAAACCTCGCTCCCGATAAATACTATGACCTTGAGACCATCGTACCTGAGATGGATTGGTGTCTCCCTGAAATGGAACGTCAGCAAGGCTCCCTTATTCTCGACCCAAGCGCCGTCTCTGCATACCTTTTCCTGGAGCTGTCTCATCAGCTCTCCAACTTTGTCGTGGAACTCAGTGGGCATCGGATGGACAAATTTGGTACCATCTGGATGCAGGATTTCGAGACCATGGTTGCCGGCATAGGTTATTCCTTCGATATCCACCTAGAACAACGCAATCAGAATTCAGAATCTCTGCATGAAGTCTCCAGAAATGCTGTAGCTTACGAATGTACTCAATGTACTGAAAGAAACGTTAGAAATATAATGAATTAATATAAAAATCTTAAGCTGAAAATACGATAAAGCTTACGATTAATCTTGAAAAAATTGATTTAGTCGAATCATCTAATATCTGTGAATATCTTATGTAGATAGTGGATTAAAATTTGAAGGGTACTATGAATATAATATTCCAAAAACAACGAAGAAGGTAAATTACTTTCATAGAATTTCGCATAGCAAGCAACACTTAGCTTTCAAAAAAATATCTACAACACTAACATTCTTCTAAATTTGTTACATTGTTCAACTATTTTGTTCACTGCAAATGACACTGTATTTCCAAAATTACAAAATAAAGCTATGATCTTAAATAAAAATAAATATATTAGAATAAATTATATGCTGACAGAACTGCAATGGTTTTTCTTTTCATATTCAAGTTAAAAAATATTTTCTACAAAAATCGTTTAGAAATTGTATGAATTAAATAAATTAATTCATGATATCGAGATGTGTGCCAGTTTGAAAATGTTTAATAGAGAATTGAAGGAATGTTTAATGGAAAACCAGAATCACATACCAATTCCATCAATATTTACCATCGAATCAGTGTTTGATTCAAGTAATTTAAGAAGAAATAAAAATACATCAATTAAATGAATTGAACTTGAGCACACCGTATACCAGTAACGACGCCGCAAAATATGTAAGCTTAGATGATTTTTTTTGCTTAATTCAATGAGATTTACTAGCTACTTATTTTAAATAACCGTAAACATAGAAAATGAAATAAAAAAAATTAACCGAAAATCAAAAAACTCAAAATTAATAAGAAAACGTTTTCCACTAAAATTCGATTGACATAGCAATTAAAAACGTGGATAAAGTAGAATATATTTTGTTATAGCTTACCATTTGTTTAACGTTATTGACATTTCTACCGCTAACGATAGCGATGTAGCAGTCTGACAGGTTAGACAGTCTTTGTAGTACATTTTTAGTTTCTGCAGGTATGATTGCCAGATCTGGATGAGGTGCTATCGGTGCTAACGTACCGTCGTAATCCAGGAGCAGCGCCAATTTGTGCGTGTTTCCAATGTACCTAAAACAAAATTCACTCATTAATACATTTAAGTAATGATAGCCAAGCATTTAGTCATCACAAGTTAAGAATCATCCGTATCTGCTATTCTCACCAAATGTAACTCTGGAAGCTTTTAGCCGATAGGTTAGAAAGGATTTTGCGATAGTGGAATGTACCCCAGAAATGTTTATGCATTCTTGTTCACTACCAGTAGCGACAGCAGATATGTCCTTCTTTATTCTCAGAAGACTGAGAACTAGAGATGTGCAAAGATGATCGATTAGTTGAGCGGTTTTCGGATCAAACAGTTTCTTCTAGTGCCCTCGCATTCAGGCTTCTGTCTGCGCGGCAGCTTCGGTGTAAAAGTAATAATAACCGATTTTTTATTAGGAAGCGCCTACCCTTACTCAAAACATAGTTGTTTTTCAAGTTGTTTAAGGGGGGTATTCAAAACATGGTACACACACACACACACACACACACCCGCACACACACACACACACACACACACACACACACACACCAATCAACCTTATTGTTATATATACTATATGTTTCAATAAAATATCCATTATACATGTACAATTTTCATTTTGAACGGTATCATCATCATCATCCTGTATAATAACAGTACATCGTATACAGGTTATAAGACATTCTGACCGATCAGAAGAGCCCACCACGCTATTTAGGTCACGCCTTGCTATATACGATTTAACGATATACCGTCGGTCCATCGATCCGATATTTTTCGATGCACCCCTGTATACAGGTTCTAAATTTCTGCCCCCCGTATATCCACGCCAACACCATCCTACAGACAGGTGCGACATCGGCGCCATCTATGCGCGAGATGCCCAACCCATCAATGACGCATGACAGGTGTCCAATGACACATACAGATTCCGTTTGCTTTGTACAGCGCCATCTAGCGGCGGAATCCCCAACTCATCAATGTCACTGCCCAACACATCAATGACGCATGACAGGTGTCCAATGACGTATGACAGATGACGTCTGTAGCGCCGATAACGCGAACCTGCAACCGTCGTCCATACATCGCCATATTTTTTTTAACGCTCCCAACCTTTTGACTCGCCCTGTATACAACCTTCTTGACTCTCCCTGTATACACTACACCTCACCTTATCGGACACACATCCGCATGGGAACGTCGTCGCGCTGATAACGCGAACCTGCAACCGTCCATCGGCTGTTTTATCTCACTTCCGCTGTGGAACTCTCTTAGCTCTACTACTAATGTCTATAGAAAAAAATCGTCTGCTGAGAATGTTTTTGATGTGTGACCGATATAGTGCTGTAAGTGGCGCTTTCTAGAAGTTTGACCATAAAAAATTACGGATTCTTGTTTCTCATACTAGCAAACCTTCATCTACCGAGTTTTATGCCAAAATCTGTAATACTTCTCGAGCAATAAGGAAAAATAGAAAATAAAATTGTAACTTTGACACCCTGCATCCCAGTTTCGAGACACCCTGTATAATAACAAGCGCACGGATCCATATGCTCCCTCCAATCAAATATTCACAATTCATCTGGCAAGACGAAGCTGAGGCGGCGAAACGCACGTGGGGCCCTTAAAAATGCATTTCCGGCATTGTGGCCGAGAATTCTAAGCAATAGCAATAGCAGCAGCCGTCTCGATCGGCACCGAAGCTGCATTCTGCACGGGGGAAGGTAATTTCACCTTCCGCTTGCCGCCGCTTGTTTGCATTTCTTCTGAATTATAGATGGATACGTGTCGGTACATATCATAGTCTTAACCAGCGGCGTAACAACACCCTCAACGGTGCACGCCATATGCTCAGCTGGTACAAGCACGTCATCATGACGTCGAAATTTGGTGAGCTAACGTGATTGTTCTAAATAAATACGTCTACTAAATGTCCAGTTGTGTAAGTGTCCTGTTATTACGTGTTTTTGAATCATAAATGTTTACGATGTACGATGTTTTTGGTAACTTATCAACTTGCGCGGTTCAGCGGACAGAGAAATAATTGTCTCATTCCATCCCTCATAGTCGTAAACTCAAAGCAACTCGAAGTTGTCTGAGATGACAAATTATACTAAGTGACATATAAATCCGAACACCCAGTTTAAATGGTTTTATTTTAATAATTTGCACTGCTTTAAAGCCCTTTGACCTTTAATAATGTGTGGATGCACCCTGATGTGCTACGCATTCTCCAACGCGCCTTCTGATCAGGTGGTCAATGTCCTCCTGTGGTACCTCATTCCAGGCAACCACCAACTCCTCTCGAAGTGCTTCTAGAGTCTGAGGAGGACGTTGTCAATTGAGCAATATCCTACCCATCATATCCCACACGTGCTCAATTGGGGATAAGTCGGGAGATCTTGGTGGCCATGGTAACAATGTGACATCATTATGTTGAAAGAAGTCTATTGTGACTCTTGCAACATGTGGTCGGGCATTATCTTGTTGGAATGTTGGATCTGCCAGGGTATCAAGATAGGGTAAAAGATGGGGTTCTAGAGCTTCGTGGATATAACGCTGCGCGTTCATGTTACCTCTGATGAAGATTAAAGGTGACCTGGAACCATAAGCTATAGCACCCCAAACCATAACTCCAACAGTGTGATGAATATCTCTTTCAACAAAAAACTGTGGATTCCTCCTTTCACCACGTCGCCTTCTAACCCTGGCACGACCATCGTGCATGCCTAAACAAAATCGAGACTCGTCACTAAAGACAATACTGTTCCATTCCTGATCCCAGAGTGACCGTTGTCTGCACCACTCAAGGCGATTACGTCGGTGTTCTCGAGTTAAAGGGAGGACCTAGTGTGGCCGGTATGAAAACAAGCCAAAACTTCTCATTCGTCGGTAAACACTTCGCATGCCAATAGGTCTTCCGTGTTCTGCAAACCATTCATTTGCAATGGACCTGGTAGTGGAGAAACGGTCCCTTGAGGCCAATAATCTTAGACGGCGATCTTCACGGTCTGTTTTTCTACGGCGGCGTCCAGTGCTCCTTGCTTTTGCGTACGGCCTTCTCGAAGCCATGCCTGACAACACCTAACCACGCTGTCTACACTTCTTTGCACTCTAAATGCAATTGCCCGAAAAGATAGTCCAGTTTCCCGAAGTCTCACTATACGGCCCCTATCAAACTCACTAAGTTGACGAAATCGTACAGGTCTCCGTACTCTAGGCATCGTGACCGATCGTAAAGGATGTCAAGAACCAAAATCCGCCAACGTTGATTCTTTACTGCGGCTGAAATATTCATTATTAGAGCGTTAGTGAATTAAAAAAAAGCAGTATAAAAACCGGAATGTCCAACTGATAAGGCTGAAAATTTTTTCACTTGTTATTTACAGTAAGATAAATACATTCACCAACTTTTATTAAAATAAAACCATTTAAACTTGGTGTTCGGATTTATATGTCACTTAGTATATTAAGGTGTCGCTAAACGTTGCCGTATAATATTCCATTTCTCATTTGAATTAGGTTGTTCGGAAAGTTCTTGCGGTTTGTGTTATATTGTGAATAATTGATTTTACACTAAGCTTTATTCATAATACTTTGACTTTATACATCATTTTGAAGCGCGTCTTCCGCTCTATCTAGTCGTTGTATTCGTTTTGAAGCGGTTCTGAAAATATTAATTAGTTTCGATTTTTTTCCTAAAACTTCAACACCCCGAGTTTTTGTAAGGAAACATTAAGATATGTATGTATAATATTGAATGATTTTCAAGAAGAGTGAATGCAAAATGAACAAAAAATGACCTACCTTATTGAACGGAACATTTAGATAGAACATAAAAATACATATATTTTAGCTATTCTGGCAACGCTGTACCGAGTGACAATTGACAGTAAACGACAATCGCGGAACGCTTCAATTGAAATTATTCCTTCTCGTTCCCGCCATTTGCTCTCGGTGCGCGCGTTTCGTTGCTCCAACTTCCACGTACTGAGATCGATCACTGAGGAACACCCGCGTTGACGTTATGGAATGAAGAGGAGAATCCGTCAATCACGACTGATATCCTGCACCCAGCGGGGAAGTCAGTCACCCATATGCTTCTCTAGAAAGCTGTAGGAAGGCTTTCGTTAGGTATATCAAGAACAGCGACATAAGCCTCACCATACGAGTATGACTGGATGAGCCTACTCCACAGTTCCGTGACGTAAGCTAGAGTTCTCCCGTTGTCTTGAACCATACTGCCTGTCGCTAACCTTACTTATTAAGGAAACAGAGCTGTAGGTTTGCAGCTGTAAAGGTAGGTCTGATCCTTTTTTTTGGGATGAGTTGGACATGAACAATTTTCCAGTTTTCTGGGAAAGAACCGGATTTGTAAAATATCAGGAAGAGACGTGGAAAAAGTGAAACCACCTCGCTTTTCTTAAAATTTGAAGTCAGCTTTGTACCTTACGCTGCGTTTGCACTGTTCTGCCCCTGGCACTAAACACACATCCATACATCTACCCGGCTACCGCGAAAATCTAATTATTTCCTCGTAAGAATACACACAGGTTCCCATTCCGAGTTGCAAGGTCTAGAGAACGGGGGTTGCCGGGGGCAGGGACCGTAAGCGGGAGGACTAGAAATTCGAACTAATTCTGTGTGCCTGTGCTTTCTGGGGTCAGGTTAATTATTCAAGAGGGAACGAAATGGGAGGCATACTAGTGCTTGCCTGTTTGCTACTGCATGTATATACGTAGCGTGTGCCGGCAAAATTTGCAATTTTGCACCGAGGGTCATACGCTTTCATTACCGAGGATGTGAGCTTGCATAATCCTTTTGAATGATAAATATTCCGCATGAACGGTTATACTATTCATAGAGATAGAGGAATGTATATTAGAACCATTATTGGTAGCGGATGCATACAAAGCAGTTTTTTTAATTTTCCACGCCACTGACACTGGCCAGGAAGTACTGTAATTGCGAAAAAGGATCAGAGCTTGAAATTCAGGTTCATTTTACTTCTTTATTGGTTCTATCAGACCATCATAGGATGCCATGGAACACGTGCATGGACTAGTAGAATAGAATATACAAAAAATTAATAAGTGAATAATGTGGTAGATACAGATTAAAATATAGCTGAGTTTAAAATACATAAATAAAATTGATAAAACTAAAAAAAAGCATAAAGAATATAAAAATGAACATAAGCTAGCGCTCATCCAGTTTCGATGGACGGTCGACTTCTGCCAAAGAGCCATTTATTTCGGCTGGTCGGAGTCCAGATCACCAAGCACCTGATCTGGCACGAACACATCTCGTCAATAGCTGCAGCTGCTAAGGCTAAGTACTTTTCTACGCATGACCGCCTCACTCTATACAAGGCCCAGATAAGGC